ACGAACTCAACTTAATAACATCCTTGGGGATATTCTGGTGTTCTCTAGACTGAAGAAAATATCGAGAAGTAGAAGTGAATACAATTTTAAGTTATAAGGAAAGCTTTTCATAATTTGTTTATGAGCAATAAACAAAATCGTCAAGTAACTATTTATAATGTGTACCTTAATCCTGACTACTTGAGTCAACCAGACTGTAATTGCTATGTATTGGATATCGCATATAATATCTTAGAAGGTATACGACATTTGAATCAATAATTATTGACAGAGTTGTAGCTATTGTGATGTAATTAATGTAACCAGAGGACTTCGTTTGTATTGATTTGAAGTACAACAACAACAACAACAAATAATAATAAATTCGTTTGCAAACTAAAATGTTTCAATATTAAGTTTATGTTCTATTCGATTTAATACTGAAAACTGGAACTGTTAAGATATTCGGAAAATGTGGTCTGATAAAAAACCACAGAAAAGACTTTTTATATTTATATATTCGCAAAGAGAAATGCTGTTTCTTTATTGTTTCTTCTTCTTTCTTTCTTATTCTTCCAAACACTTTTCAATCAACAGCCATTCCTTCATTTTTCGGCAAATAGTTTATCCAATACGTCCAGACATCTTTTTCATTTTGTGATTTAGGCTTTTCTTAAGGATTTAATGGGATCAAAGGTCAAACAACCCCAAAAATGAATATTTTGTGCTCCTGTGCGGTTACATTTGTAGCAATCAAACTGAAAATTGTCACAAATATAAATTTTCATACACCCAACACGTTTATATAAACGAAGTTGGATTTGTTCATTTTGAGCCTTTTTAGGGGAGTCAGAGCTCACAAAAAAACCATAATTTTGGGGGTTTTGGTCACTTACTCGACCATATTTTGATCAATTTAGATGGAATTTGGTACAAAAATACTTTTCTACAGGACATAAACATTTACAAACAAAAAATGGTGGACTTGTTCATTTTTAGCAATTATAGGGAGATCAATTTGGAACAATAGTCATAATTTTAGAATTTTTTGACAATTAATCCACCGTATTTCGGCCAATTTACTTGGGATTTGGTACAAAGATATCTTTTTTACAGGTTCCATATATATACAAAAATGTGGGATGTACTCATATTTGGTCATTTTAGGGGCGTCAAATAGTTAAATGAACCCACCCATTAGTTTAAGGGTTTGGGGGTCAATTACTTAGCCTTGTTTTGACCAACTTACGTGCTAAGATACTATTCGACAGGCAACACACCAAAATGTTGGATTTGCCCATTTTTAGTAATTATAGTGGGTCAAGATGCCCCAAAAAGCATGATTTTTAAGGTTTTGGTCAATTACCTAGCCATATTTCGAGTAATTTACGTGGAATTTAGTACAAAGATCATTTTTGCAAGTCCCAAACAGAGATATAGACAATTTTGAATTTTTTTCTTTTGTTCAATTTTTCAGCAAGGAAAGCACAGTTTGATTTTCGTGAATTATCCATGCGTATGTCAACCAACTTACATGGGATTTGGTACAAAGATACCTTTTTTGCTGGTCACAAGCAGTGATATAGACATTTTTCGATTCTTTTCATATTTTTTACAATTTTTCTTGTGTCAAAATTGGACATCTTGGGATTGAATGGCGGCGACGTGTCGCATTCGCCCGTAAATATTGGCTTCTTTAATTCATAACTTATATTTTAATGTCTACTCTTCTGGAGTAATAAACTTCAGATATATTCAAACAAAAATTAAGAAATGGCAGAAATAATCAATATTTGCACTTGTTTTATCAAAATACTTCTTCGATGTGAATTAGATTACGATCAGTAATATATATATATAGTGTACTTAGGAAACCCAATTAGTTCTATTAGTCTTTTTTCTTTCTGGCTACTTAAGCCTACTAAACAACTCTTCCTGACTGAGTAAAGTACGCTATCTGTTGAAGTGGGCTATACTGAAAGGCAACTAACGTCTACACGACTACAATTTAAGACATACCTAGGAATATCTATTGTTTGGATAGCAGTCATACCTCACGGTGAAATAGAGAAGATGGATTTTGTGACACAACTAACCAGATAAGGTAACAATGTTTTGTCAATTAGGGATAAACAAGATAAAGATCTACAATTAATTAACGTTTCGTAATTTGTTATTTTGGGGTATATATATTGTTTGATTGCCTAATATATATGTTTTCATATAGATAAATATGTTGTCCTTTACTAGAATATTAATAATAGTGTTTTTTTTCATACTTCACGTCATTCCTTAGAGAAATAAATATATAAATACAACTCATACATATATCTTACAAGAAAAGTTTGTTTGTTTTGTTTTTGAATTTCGCGCAAAGCTACACGAGGGCTATCTGCGCTAGCCGTCCCTAATTTAGCAGTGTAAGACTAGAGGGGAGGCAGCTAGTCATCACCACCCACCGCCAACTCTTGGGCTACTCTTTTACCAACAAATAGTGGGACTGACTGTCACATTATAAAGCCCCCACGGCTGTTTGGTGTAACGGGGATTCGAACCCGCGACCCGCAGAGTGCGAGTCGAGTGCCCTAACCACCTGGTCATGCCGGGCCACAAAACCTTTTTATTAAATATTTGACATATCTTATACTTACTGATGATTCGTTTCATTTATCGCTGTTTGAATTGTAGCCCTCAAGTGGCTCAGCAGTAAGTCTGCAGGATTACTACCCTAAAATGTGGGTTTCGATATCCGTGGTGGAAAGAGCACAAAGAGTTCATGGCCAGGTGGTTAGAGCACTCGACTCGCAGTCTGCGGGTCGCGGGTTCGAATCCCGTCACACCAAACATGCTCGCCCTTTCAGCCGTGGGGGCGTTATAATGTGACGGTCAATCCCACTATTCGTTGGTAAAAGAGTAGCCCAAGAGTTGGCGGTGGGTGGTGATGACTAGCTGCCTTCCCTCTAGTCTTACACTACTAAATTAGGGACGGCTAGCGCAGATAGCTCTCGTATAGCTTTGCGCGAAATTCAAAAACAAACAAACAAACTTAC